TCACACTATGGGAGCTGGCCATGCCCGAAGTCGTTACCTTAACCGCAAGGAGGGGGATGCCGAAGGTAGGGCTAGTGACTAGAGTGAAGTCGTAACAAGGTAGCCGTACTAGAAGGCGCGGCTGGATCACCTTCTTTTCAGGGAGAGCTAATGTGACAACCCAAAATATTTTTTTCAAATTCCTATTTTATAAAGTTTCAAAAAAAAAATATTTATTTCTACGATGGGTTGTAAGCCCAATGAATTTGTTTGAAGTCCAAGTATATTTATTTCCTAAATCTTCTTAAGTCCAAATGTATTTAACTTATATCTAGTCTTGATTCACGTATCTAAGCCCAATATATACATATGTAATCTAAAATTCTTCTTGAGCCCAAAGAAAATACCAATTCTACACTTTAGCCCAATTTAAATTTAGAAACCCTACCCTATTTGGATTTATTAATGTTGTATCTTGTTGTTACATATGAAAATCAAAAGAAATTGGCAGCCAAACACCTCCATGTCTATCTATTTTCAGCACTTGGGTCTCTCGTCTCTCTCTCTCTAAATAAATTCAGCAACTTGGGAGTTGGGAATAAGTCAGGAAATGAAGGAAAAGAAGGAATTATATATTTAATAACAGTAAGGATGGAATTACTAGATTAATGATAATAAGATATAGTTAAATGCTATTATTGTTAATAATAATAGTATGGGTAACGAAAGATGATCGGTTGATCTACAGGTTCCTCGTTAAAGTGGCTAGCTCGGGAGTGAGCTCAAGAATCGAATGTTTAGCTTTGAAGCTCGGTTAAAGGTATAAACCATGGATTCCCAAATCTATTATTTTAGCCCTTTGTTGATAGATTTCTTGAGGTTTGATGCTTAGAAATGTTTGTTAATGCATGATACTATGTTATTGTGTGTTGTTTATGTTAGATGTTATATACATAGTTGTCTGCGATATTTTGAGGAGAAGGCCGGGCCCTTTGAGGCTCAGCCGTGTGTTGTTGGTTTTGCTGAGAAGGTCGGGCCCTCTGTGGCTGAGCCATGTGTTGTTTCGGACCGGGACTCGTGGGTCCTTGAGGTTCGGACACTCGACTCGTTACGACACGCTAGTATGAGTTGTATTTAATTTGTATGATTTTTGAGTAGAAGCATGTTAGTAGGTAAAGTATGAATTTGGTCCTTGAGTATTTGTTTAGCTCTTGAGTTCAAAGTATGAAACATCAGATTGGCATTTGCTTACAAGAATTATTTGGCTAAATGTGCTAATTGCGTTGCTTGGCTCATGAATAGTAGAATTGTTGAGACTATTGAGATTTCTTGCATAAGTCAATGTTTTACAAACTTTGCATTTGAAAAGGGCATTTTGCCACTTTTAAAGATTAAGAACAGTAAAGGCTCAAAGTGAAGCCTTAAGCTATTTTCAAAACCTATATCTATTTTGGAAAATCTATATCTTTTGCATTGAGAAGATTGCATGATAATTTGATTTCCAAAATGTGAGAAAGAGAAGTTGTTTGAGATTTATGTGCATTGCAAAGCTTGCATATTATAGAGTTTATTGCATGAGAAAAGAAGTTGCATGAGATATATATATACTACCTATTGTGAGGAAAATAGTATTTTGGGGGACCATTAGGACTATGTCCTTTCGGAAGAAAAGAGAAAGAAAGAAGTTTGAGAAAAGAAAGAAACGGTCACAGAGGACCGACAGATATTTAGAAGTAACTTGGTCGATATTCCCGAGTTGTTAGGTTGGATACTACCCGCTAGGCTTGGAATCCCGGTTAGGGGGTGTGCACACTGAAAGTACGATACCTGATTCCACAGAGAAAGAAAGAAAGAAAGATTAAGAACCATGAATACCGGTTCTGTGGGCGAGTTGATTTTTTAAGCCAGCTAGATTGCCGAGCCCGGATAAGTCCATTCACGATTCGTGAAGTTCCTACCTCCCCCACGAGTTTGAGGTTCCGTTGATACGGATGTAGCAGTTGCAAGAGTTGTGCCGTTCGCTAGGGCTTCGCTACGGCGGAGTACCTGCCACTCATAAAGAGAAAGATTGAGAAAGAAGAGAAAAGCGAGTCAAGTGACTCAACAGAAAGAAAGAAAGAAAGAAAGCAAGTAAGAAAGAAGAGAAAAGCGAGTCAAGTGACTCAACAGAAACCTCCTCAGAAAATATTCTTTTTTATATAAAGAGCGAGAGTATATCTATATTTTAAGCATCACGTCATATCTTGTTGCATGACTTATTATGAGTTGCATTTAGAGCATTTTGAGAAGTACAATATTTATTGTTGTTTAAGAGTTAGCATGATAGCATGATCTTGCTTGTTGAATTTCAGTTATCTCTTTATCTATCAGTTTGAGTATGAGTATTGTATGATGAGCTATGTTTAGAGATATCTGTTTGAACTTTGAAGCATGAGAAGGTGTTTAAGTTGAGTATTTTGAAAAAATCATGTGTATATGAAGTATAGGTTGCAAGCATATAGAAGTGTGTTTGAATATTTATTGAGATCGTTGACTAAGTGTTGTAATTGGTTATGTTCATACTTGAGATTGCATGTGAATGCCAAATGTTTTCCAAATCTATATCTATATTACTTTACAGGGTTGAGTGGTTTTATACTTAACATTAATTTGCTAACGGGTTTATTTTCCTACTTGTTTTTATAACACCTTTCAGGTGGGCCTGGTGTTTGAGAGCGCACGTGGTAGTTAGTGCGTAGTTTTGAGGTGGTAGATACTGGAGTAGTTTTATACCTTAGTTGAACTGCTGTTTAGTTGTTGTTAAACTGATATTTTGTACGTGGTGCGTGGACACCGGGGTTTGTTTCCCAAGTTGTTGATGTTATAGAGCTTGACTCTAATTTTAGTTAGCTGTTTTGTAGCCCGTGTAGTCACCGTGAGTGGTGGTTGTGGCGGTAACACCCGTAGTTGTTTGATCGAATGGTTTTTAGTTATATAAACCTTGTTTATTTACCTTGTTTAAGTTTAATTATTTGAGATTTAGATTTTAGAAAAGGGAGGTGTTACAGCTAATGCTTATTGAGTATTTTGGTTTGACACTGCTTCACACCCCAAAAAAAGAAGGGAGCTACGTCTGAGTGAAACTTGGAGATGGAAGTCTTCTTTTGTTTCTCGACAGTGAAGTAAGACCAAGCTCATGAGCTTATTATCCTAGGTCAGAACAAGTTGATAGGATCCCCTTTTTTACGTCCCCATGTCCCCCCCCCCCCGTGTAGCGACATGGGGGCAAAAAGAGGAAAGAGAGGGATGGGGTTTCTCTCGCTTTTGGCATAGCGAGCCCTAGTGGGAGGCTCACACGACGGGCTATTAGCTCAGTGGTAGAGCGCACCCCTGATAATTGCGTCGTTGTGCTTGGGTTATGAGGGCTCTCAGCCACATGGATAGTTCAATGTGCTCATCGCGCCTGACCTCGAGATGTGGATCATCCAAGGCACATTAGCATGGTGTACTCCTCCTGTTCAAACCAGGGTTTGAAACCAAAATCCTCCTCAAGAGGATAGATGGGGCGATTCGGGTGAGATCCAATGTAGATCCAACTTTCGATCACTCGTGGGATCCGGGCAGTCCGGGAGGGTTTCGAATTAGCCCTAACCCACCTACCCACTCATCGATGACTGAGGGCTAATTATTTTATTGAAAAGAATTCTCTTGTTAATACCCTATGAATCGAATAAAACCTCAGATTCATACTAGAACCACGATGGTTCAATAAAAAAAACCTAAACGTAATCAAGGATTCTGAGTAAGAACCCTTTGATGATCACTTATTCCCTTTCCCTGAATAAATAGATGATGCAAATTAAAATTCAAATAAAGATTTTTCTTTTGATCAAAATAGAAATAGGGTTTGAAATAATAAAATTCTTTCGGTTTCAAAATTCTTTTTTAAATTTTTTTGAACCCGGGCACGAGGTCTGAATATTCAATTCAGTATGAATCATAGTTAAAATATTTCTTAATATATTTCGTGTATGCGTGTAATATTTAGGCACTTCCTCTTTAAATTGCAGCACCATCGGCTCTTCATCCCGCCATCTCAATCATCTCGTATTGAGAGAGAAGACAGATCGAACAGCACCATCCGAGAATTGGACATCATCTTCTACCTAGCTTGTTCTAGACCATTCATCTTGTGATACCACATCCATTTTATAAACTATTAAGCGCAACATTTGTGCATCCAGATAGAATGCTAAAAAAAAATGATCAAAATATTCTTCCATATTATATATCCATCCCTTGGATCTGCTTCGTAGCCGAAGTATATATTATGCATTGGAACCTGCTGCTTTGGTCTAGAAACTGTAGCAGCCAGAGTTGTCCCAGGAACACCGCCGGTCACGCCCACCGGCAAAACCCCAGAGTCATGCACCAAGCTAATGAGGCAGCGGTGGCACCATTACAGGCTACCAAGAGGTGGCCACCACCGGATCCGCTCTCTTTGCGACCGTCACAAACCAGGCTGTCTCTCAGCCTGTCTCCGTGGTAACTACTATTGGCGGCCGCAGGGTGAATTTAGATTTTTGTGGTCCCATTCTTATAAATAAATGAGAACCTATCAAAAGTATAAGTGGAATCTTTAAAAAGACATTTTTAGTCCTAAATTTATAGTGGCTTGAACAATTTTAGTCCTTTATAAAAAAATTTGCCATTTTATGGACAGAGTTATTGTGGCGAGGACATTTTTGGTCATCCGTCTATATTTCTGTTAGATAATCGTCTGAGAGAGGGGTAATTACGTCAATTTAAGCTATCTCCTTCTATCTATTATATCTATGTGTGTTTTGTTTTCTTCTCGGTCATAATTCGAAGGAGTCGGAGAGTCCAAGTTGCAGTTGTACGAAGAAATTGCCGGAGAATCGAAGCCGCCAAACAGGTTACTAATCAAATAGATAGAAGGAGAATCGAAGCCGCCAAACACACATTGATATAATAGATAGAAGGAGATAGCCTAAATTGACATAATTGTCCCTCTCTCATACGGTTATCTAACAGAAATATAGACGGAGGACCAAAAATGTCCTCGCCACAATAACTCTGTCCATAAAATGGCAATTTTTTTTTTTTTATAAAGGACTAAAATTGTCCAAGCCACTATAAGTTTAGGACCAAAAATGTCTTTTACTCAAATCAATACCCTACTTACCCTAACATATATGATTCTTCGTTTTAGTTACAGAATGGTTTGCTTAATTAGATCCTAATTATTAGAAGAGAAGTGATTTGGAAAAAACGGATGAGTTTTAAAATTAATTGTATATTTTTTTTTATTTCTTTAAGTAGCTAAATCAAAAATAAATATTAGACCATGTTGCCTATCTTGAACAGCAAAAATAAATATTAGACCCTATTGCCCATCTTCGACGGTCCAAAATTCGGCTATGCCAGCGGGGACAAGTTCTAGCACTACGTCACCGGAGTTTTCACCAGCGACAACGGCGACTGCGGTCGGGAGCACTCATTTACAACATTATAAAAAGGGAGAATGACACTTTTTTCTCTTGAGTTATATACTTATAGCACTTTTTCCCCCTTAATTATTCAAGTGGCTGTTTTTCCCCCTGAAATGTTAAATGGACATAGTTACCCTTAAAATAAATATTTCATTTATTTTTCATCTCCAACAAATTATGATCATAATTTGGTTCAAACCAAACAAACACTATAGCAACCAAACCTAAATATTTCAATTACAATTTAGAATCGAAACTCGATATTTAGAGTTTATCAAAATTGCGAACTGGAACGGACGGTTCATGTTCCGAACTGAAAAAAAATAAAATACATTTATTGTTGAAGTTAGACTATTTTAAAATAAAAAATAAAATTTTAAAATAAAGACGGTTCAAAATCGCGAACCGGATCCGGAACCGCCGATTCACGGTTTAGGATCCAATTTTTTTGATTCATAATTTTAATAAATTGAAATTCAAATATTGGGTTCTCGATCTGAATCATAACCAAAATTTTTTAATTCGATTGCTATAATGTCTGGTTCAGTTCGAACCGAACCGTGGTGATCCCTACGTATACGCAATAATTTGTTGGAGAAGTAAAATAAATAAAATGTTTACTTTAAGGGTAGAAATGTCAATTTAATATATTAGAGGGAAAAACCACCACTTTTAAAATAATTGAGGGGACTAATGTGCATACCTAAATAATTGAGGGAAAAAAAGTGCTATAAGTATATAACTCAGGGAGAAAAAGTGCTATTTTCCCTTACAAAAATTTAGAACACATTTGTTCATTTTTACTTTTTAATTTGTAAAATAAAATGTTCCATCCGATGTGGCATCTTTTCATTCGCTTAGACAGGTATGAACATTACACGTCACACTTAAATAACAAATTTTATTGTGCAATCGTCTCTTCTTCAAGACTTCAACGGTGCTGTCGATAGAGATCCTCTGGTTCGCGAACCACCAACAGTCTTGTCGACTTCTCCTCCATTTCTTCTACTAAGCTAGGGTTTACATTCTGCAATTAGGAGGCACATAAAGATGAATTTCGCTTGGAGTTGTGTCTTACTTTTGTCCTCCACACTCTTCTACGGCGTTGTTTTCGCCGATCAGATCTTCTCTGCTCATACAGGTTCCAACATTTAATCTTGCAAACATTCTGTAATCTTTTGCTAATATATAGATATTTGTTTCGAAGAAAAGAAGAATTTTGAACTCCACTCATATTTTGTGTTAGCTAAATTCCTGTCCATTACAATTTCAATTGTGTATTTGTATAAATAATAAGGTATTGCATTCATCAATATGCATGAAATGTGTGTTGTCCATGCAAGTACATTAGCACCTGAAGGCTGTGGAGCTAACAATGGAATTTAAGATAGAGATGATGTTGGTAGGATGACAAGAACTAGGGGTGCTTACTGTTAACATCAATGGTTTGGCCCTAGCTGCCTGATGGCTTATGAAGATTTCACTTTAAAAGTCGTTTTCTATTTAGTTTTTATCACTATAATAGAAGTGGTTTGGAAAGAATGAAGATTGCTTTTTCTCTATGGTTTCTATATTTTCAATGCTTTAAATGAGGTATTTGCCTGATCCTAATGACATAGACAAGCTAGACTAAAGGAATGTTTGGTGCTTGGAAATTGCTAACTGTTTATAAACTATGAAATGCTAGGTAGAATTTGGAAAAGTTGATGGTTTTATGCTTGAAGCCTTGAAACATTGGCATTACTGCATTAGCTCAAACCCCAAATATATTTTACTCATCTATTTATCAGTTGCATTGTGCAAGCCATTGTTTTGGCTAACTTTCAGGTGTTATGTCTATGTTTCCCATTTTGATCAAATCTAGATATTTCATATTAAGTTACCTTGGATGGCCCAGATTTTATGATTTTCTGACCTTTAATGTCAGGAGGTACTCTTGGTCGAAGCTCTAAAGAACCTAAATACAAAATTGAATTTCATCCAGAAGACTCACCCTTTCTCCCTGTAAGTTCTACTAACTTGAATGTAATAGATGCCATTTTTTTCCTCTAAAAATTCTGATCTTTTAGATTATGGAGATGGAGAAGTACAACCTTCCCATGACAGCATTTTTTAAGAAAACTATGTTACTGTGTCTTTTTAACTGATCTGGTTATATGATGCATTAAATTAATGGGTGAGTCTGAACATTTTGTTTTACAGGATGATGATCAGGAAGCTGTTGTTATGCCCAATAAAAAAGGAGAGAAGTTTCTGTGTTTTCTACCCAAAGTGCATAATTCAAAAAGCAGTAAACTAGTCAGTCATCAGAATACGAGCAGCTTGATCTTGGAGACTGAGAAACACATTAAACTAAAGACACCTGATGAGCTACTAGAAGTGCTCAAGGATATATGTCTTATCAGGGTTAGTATATTTAGAACCTCTCTCCTATCCCATAAGTGGGAAAAAGAGGAATTTTATCAAAAAATGAAAAGGAATACCTTGATAGATGAACCAAGTTGTGAATTTAAAGGCGTTTTCTCTGCAATTATGCATCTATTATATAACTTACATCGTCAAATTCTCCCAGCAAGAGGGATGGTGGTCATATGAATTTTGTTACCAGAAGAAGTTGCGACAAATTCATTTGGAGGATGAGAAGGTATCTCTTCTTTTGCCTCTTAATGGTTCCTAAAGTAATAATTACATTTGTTCTTGAAATGGTTTCCCAGCATTTCATCAGCAGAATTTCACACTTTACTAGCATGTGGTATAATGTAGAACTACTGCTTAAGTTTCTAATGTGCTTAGTGCCATATTGAATCCTTACTGCTTAAGTTTCTAATGTGCTTAGTGCCATGTAGAACTACTGCTTAAGTTTCTAATGTGCTTACTTGCACTCTTATTGAATCCTATTTGCTGCTTTTTGTTGTATTTATAACTAAATCCAAATCTGAATTTCTTTGATACTGAATTCTATAGGTGGTTCAAGAATTTGTCTTGGGTAACTATGACAGTGAGGCTACAGCTGCTGCTAATGAGAACCGGTCTGATATTTCTACATTAAAAGATCCTCGCTCAAAAGATGCCTCACAAAGGTATGTATACAACAAATAATGGCTGAACCAGGAGCTCGGTTAAAAACTTTATTTAGCCTATACGTAGACCCTTAACATGAAGTTTTACACTGAGAAACAGATTGCAACTGGCCTCAGTATTTTCTTTGCCCCCAGGAATTATTTTTAGTGATTAATCATGTATGCAGGTATCACGCTCATCAGTATATAAATGGAACTACCTGTGATTTAACAAACCAGCCACGAGAAACAGAGGTATAAAGTTGATTTTCACATTGGTTTCTTATAAAAGTATTATAGGTCAATATTTATAACAGTTTTTCCTTCAGGTGAGATTTGTATGCTCAGAGCCAAGGGCTATGATAAGTTCCATCACTGAGTTGTCCACCTGCAAGTATGCTCTCACAGTTCAATGCCCAACACTCTGCAAGCATCCGTATGCATCTCTTTCTTATTCTCAGTTTCATGCATGCTACCACAGTTACACCTGTTCATATTGATTTACCTTTTGATTAATGATATCCATTTGTTTTGTTATGATAGCAATAATATATGCCATAGATAACTTAGCCAATTCTGGTTTGATTAATGATATCCGTTTGTTTTGTTTGGTTCAAAGGCCTAAACAAATAAGACATCTTTCTTTTGGGTGTGGATATAGAGGGGGTATGTGCATGGAGTTAAGTAGGGATAGGGGTGTAAACGAATCGAATTGAGTCAAATATCTCACTATTTGATTCGAATTCGACTATATATTCGAATATTCGTATTTGTATTCGTTTAATATTCGAATCTCAAATTTGATTCGTATTCGATTCGACCAATTTATTCGAATATATTCGATTCGACTCGAATATTCGAATTCGAAATGCCTAACTTAATTTTTTACAATATTAGGGACTTAGGGTTTATATATATATATATATATATATATATATATATATCTTAGGGTTTATATATATATATATATATATATATATATATATATATATTCGAATACTATTCGAATCGAATACACTCGATTCGTATTCGTATTCGAAAAAATTCGAATCGAAAAAAGTATTCGAATTCGAATCACGAATCGAATTTTTTTTATTTGATTTGTTTACATCCCTAAGTAGGGATGTCAATCGAGGAAGCCCATTCGGTTTCGGGCTATTCCTATCAGGCTATCGGGCTTATCGGTTCGGGCTAATCGGAATTTTTTTTTCTCTGGTTGGGTTTAAAATTCTTGGCACTAAGCCTCGGGCTGTCAGGCTAATCGGGCGGGCTCAACTGAAACTTTTGACATTTTCAAATTAACATTCTAAGCTTTTCAATTTTAATAAACTAGCGCATTTATACTAATAAATATAAATTTATACATCATTCAATCAATATAAACCTCTATTTCTAAATTTCAACTAAAATAATTAATATTAATATATTTACACTATAATAATTATAATAAATTTTTTATTTTTCATTTATTTTTTGGCCAATATTTTTCATTATTTATTTTCATAAAAAGTATTTTATTTTGTAATAAATTTATTAAAATTTTATTTACAAATTTAATAAAAAGTACTAAAGATGAGTTTACATATAAATTTCTTATATATTTTGTTCCACAGCACTTGTGAAATAAAGCATAGCCTTAAGTGGCTCGGGCTAGCCCACTAAGTTCTGGGCTAGCCCGTTTGGGCTATCGGACTTATCAGGCTAAAATTTCTTGACCTTAACCTTAAAATTTTTTGGGCTTATTGGGTCGGCCCGTCGGTTTTACGCTAAGGTTGACATTCCTAAAGTTAAGGGATTATTGCAATGTATTAGAATAATTATCATATAACTATATTTAGAAAACATCTGTTTACATTATTGTGGGTTGCTACTCTGAATTACACTGATTATTGCCCAGTTGATAGAGAGAAATAGCATAGTGGTTAATAGATCTGGCCCAAAATATATTGACTGCTTGGAGTATATGAAGTTATTAGAACTTTGTTAAATAATGTGGAATAGCTTGACACTATGACTGTTCACAACTCAATTGCTTTGATGTGTACGCAGAATTTAAATTGAGCTGTCATGGCAGCCTTCTCTTCTATGTTTGGGCTTGAATTGCAAGGACTGCAGCTAGTAGCACTGGTTTGAAAGTTGAAACCCAACCAGGCTGACTGGGTTAAACCAGAGCCAGTTCTAAGTCTGATCTGATCCACTTTAGGGGACCGGACATGGTCAAAGCCTATGTAAACTGGTCAGACCTGAGGAATTACAAGGACTGCAGCTAGTGGCAATGATTTTCATGGTTTTAAAAATCGCTAGGCACTGCCCTATATAAAGAACAATACTATTTTAGAAAATAATAACACTAATGGAGGAAGACAGGAAGTCAGGAACACAAACCATCAATAATAAATTAATAAATTAATTAATAAAATATACAATTCTGAGGACAACTTTCAAGCTGCCAGCCATTAAAATACTAGGGTTTTTAAATTTAACTGTAGAAGGCTAAAAACCAAGAGGAAATTAGCAAAGCTATACATGTCTGCTGCCACCTGGAATCTTGGGCGAGAACTGCAAGATCGAGATTTGACAATCAACAATGGCAAAGTCTATAGGTGAATGGTGAAGTTGTGTGACTTGCAGAATCGAGCATGATTGAACAGCGAATCAGTAGTGGTGTCTCAGGCTCTCAACTGCTGTGGTTGTGCGGGCGATGGTGGTGTGCTGTCACAATTGAATGGCTGTTTGCTGGGGATGAAGGACAGGCTGTGCTGTGATTCTTCAATGTCCGACCGTGATCTGTGGACTGCTGCAAAGGTGAATCTGAGCGAAACAAACCTAAAATAAAAAATTGACCGAGTAGGAAGGTTACACCTAGTAGTCAGCTTAGTGCTGACCACCTAAAATGGTGAGTTTTGCCTAATTTGGTTCTGCCTAGGGACGCGTAGGTCAGGTTTTACAACACTGATGATTTGAAACCCAACCAGGCTGACTGGTTTAAACCAGAGCAGTTCTAAGTCTGATCTGATCCCCTTTAGGGGACCGGACATGGTCAAAGCCTATGTAAACTGGCCAAACCTGGGAAATTGAGCAGAACTGGTTTCCCGCTAACTTGAAAATTCATTGATCACCATGATAGTATCTAAACCTTGATCTTCACCAATCAAGTTTTCTTACTTCATTCTATCCCATTTGTTTATGTTGAGTTCAGAGAAGGAAAGGAGCATATTTTTATTTCTAAGTCTGATCTTATCCCCTTTAGGGGACTGGACATTGTCAAAGCCTATGTAAACTGGCCAAACCTAGGAAATTGGCCACAACTGGTTTCCAGCTAACTCTTGAACTCATTCATTACCATACTGGACATTGTCAAAGCCTATGTAAACTGGCCAAACCTAGGAAATTGGCCACAACTGGTTTCCAGCTAACTCTTCAACTCATTCATTACCATGATAGTATCTAAACCTTGACCTTCACCAATCAAGTTTTCTTCATTCTATCCCATTTGTTTGTGTTGAATTCAGAGAAGAAAGGAGCACTTTTTATTGGAATAAGGTTCAAATTGACCACTGAACGTAACCTGAAAGTGCAATTAGGCCACTGAACGAAAAAAAAGTGCAATTAGGCCACTGAACACTCCAAAAATGTGCAATTTCACCTGATAGCAGGTTACCCTCAATTTTAGCAGGTTATCTGCTTACGTGGCAACTGAGTTGGCATTTTTAATAAATTTTAATAATAACTTTTTATTAAATTTTTTTTTAAAAAAATAAAAACGACTTATTTTATTTTTTATTTAATTTTTTCCAATTTTTTATAAAATTTATTATTAAAAATTATTTAAAAATTATTAAAAATGCCAACTAAGCTGCCACGTAAGCAGGTAACCTGCTAAAATTGATGGTAACCTGCTATCCGGTAAAATTGCATACGTTTGGAGAGTTTAGTGGCCTAATTGCACATTTTTTGAGTGTTCAATGGCCTAATTGCACTTTTTTTTTCGTTCAGTGGCCTAATTGCATTTTCAGGTTACGTTCAGTGGCCAATTTGAACCTTATTCCCTTTTCATTTCATGTATAAAACTAGAGGACGTGTGCATGCAAACACATATATATACTAGTAGAAAAAGATATCTAAGGTTCCCAACTTAGGAAAAGCCTATAACCCTTCATATTTCTACAAATGCTTGTCTGTTGAATTTCCTCGCGTATTTTTCAACAGTTTGAGATGTGAAACAGGGAAATGGAGTGTAGTTAAATTTTGATCATCATGTGGAAATTTTGATTCAAAGTTACATCCGACACCAAATGCTGGAGATCATCATTGTTATCCTCACCACCTTTATCATGGTCTCTGACCTTGATCTTTACCTAATCATCTGATGATATGAAGACTTCTCTTCCTTTTCTCCATGAACCAATTCACAGGGGACTAGCCGACTAGGGGAGACCAAGCTTTGGAGCACTCATCTATGTTATGAATTTGTGAAAAATTGTACACATTTTGGCTGTGTTTGAATGTGATCTGCTGCGAGCTAGGTGAACCTTTTGCTAGTGATGATGTAGTAAAAGAAACACACACGCAGCTAATGAGAAAGGAGAACATATCTGAGTTTTACACAAGGAATCTCCATCACCTGTAGTTCTGTACTGTAACCAAACCGGTAGAACCGCTTACCAAGTTACCAGTAGCCTCTTGGTCTTTGTGGCTTAGATTATAAGAACACTGGCTTCAAGTAGATTCTATGATCACTTGAGATGTCATGTAGTTAATATAAATGCTGCTTAAGGAGATTCTACTTTTTCTCCATTCTGAATTTAATGCATTTCTCTGACCCCACCTCAGAAAAGTTCTTCCTTGCAAATTATGTGAATATGGAGTATACAATTAGTATAGTACTCTAAAAAACA